GTATTCTACAACATATTTATTAATCCGTAGTATCTAACTAGCGTGACGTCATAAATCTCGCTCCGAGGCTGTTCTATTAGAGACGGCATTACGTCAGCATGGCCGCAAGTTGCTAACCTAATAAAATTAACACTAGAAAAGCCCGCGGAAACTGTCAAATTCAAAGTTATTCGTTTTACAGACTATACCATTTGCACCTTTATATCTATGTATTTGCGTTAATGCTTTACGATACCTTACTAGAGTAAGTATTATAATACTTTAGAGTAAGGTATCGTAAAGCATTACCGCAAAACCTGTTTTCACAGGAGAAACATTTTTTTTTCAAATGAGCTCTATTCCTATTAACTGTTAACAAATTATGAGGTCTTTACCGAAATAGGGTATAAATATAACTCAGTTGGTCAAAGAATGCCTAGAGAATCTCAACAAATTAGGCAAAGAAAATAAAGTTCTCCTACTCTGTATGCCTGCTCACCAAGGAATAGAAGGCAATGAAAAAGCAAATGACCTAGCTAGAAAACAAGCGAACACTCCCACCAACTAGACTAGAACCGTTCTGTTTCCCAAGCGGGAATCAACTGAAAGCGAAACTGAAGAACATGCAATCCGTAACCTGGAATGGGTGTCCTCCAATGGTCTAAGACAATCGAAAAATTCCTCGGAACCTACGAGCGAGAAAAATCAAACATTTTCCTGAAAGTAAGAACAAGTCTCCTCAATAAACACCTCAGTAGGCTGTGGCTGAGAAATACTGGTGTTACACCAGTATACACTGAACACCTTATCACTGAGTGCGCCGAGACGACGCCGACGACCGTTCGTGCCATGAACATTGGTACGGCTGATGTCGAGGATGGAGAGCTGACCTCTGTCGAGCCGTCTCAGATACTGGCTTTTGTTAAAGCCCTGAGACTGTATGATGAGTTATAGCTCGTTATAACTCAAGAAAGGGGAACATAATAGATCTGTAAGGTCGCGGTCATTAACTCCCCTCCCAAACATTATAATAAAAGTATTTAGGAAATACGTATTTTATATCTAGTATTTGAAATACCTTTTTCAAAAATATTTTGTAACTGATATCTCAAATACTTTGCTTCGAAGTATCTTGTAACTCGTATTTTAGATACTTTTCTGAGGTATCTTGTACATCTCTGAATACAACGAACGGTCCAAATTGTTTGAAACATTTCTGATAAAAATAATAGCCAAAAGTCCACAATGCATCGTTGTAGAATCAAATCATGTTCCCATCCAGGGAAAAATCGATGTAACTTTTCTTTTTCGTGTCTCACATTTGTTACTTTCTTGATCGGGACGAAACACCGGTAAAGTCACGTTTACACCGGGAAAATACATTTTTCCACTTCTTATTTTAGGGTAGAAAAATTCTGGTTCAGATATACTGGATGGTCCACATTGTAATCGGGAAACATCGGAAACATATTTTACAGATAAAAACAAGTCAAAAAGCTCACGTAAGTTTAAAATCTAAAAAAAATCTACTCTCGCCTCAAATGCTTTGTTTCGCAGATACAGAGTTTAGAAGTTTTACTTTTATTTAATGTTTTTTCTAACAGTTTCTAAACTAACACTGATTTTTGGATGAAAATTGGTGGTTGTGTGTTTTTTGACATGGAGCCATATACTAACAAGGTAGTCGAGTTTCTCTTGTAAAAAAATATCCAGACAACAATTTTCCTCTAAATATCGACGTTAGTTATATTAGATTATTTGTAAAACCACTTAATAAAAATATATCCTCTACACCTTGTATCTCCGAAACAAAGCAGTTTAGGACATAACCTTAAACAAACTATTTTACGTATTTTTATCTGCAGAACATATTCCCAAAGTTACCACCCTGTATAATTGCGTTTAATCCAAATAGAAATAGGCACATAATCAATTTTTATATAATTAATAAAAAAATAGATACGTTTAACAAATTACAGAGATGCACAGACACTCTTTAACAAAATCAACTCATAAGATATTTTATGTGAATTTATATGTCGTAAATGGATTTTGTATCGTACGATCGAATAAAAAACGGCGTCCAGTTAGCTTGCAAACAAACATCGATGAAATCCCGATTTAATTTTACATATAAAATGACAGCGATCTTCATTTCATAGTCATCGTTGATGCCGTTTTTATTTCGAACTTATTGTATTTATAATGAGGACATATTATATACGTAAACAGTTTACCTACACACGCTCACTAATTTTCACTAGCACCTAAATTAACCAGACAATTAAATACAACGTAGCCCGTAAATTAATAATTTATTAATTAAAAACCATTTTAATTCTCAAATTTGATCTACCGTTCTTTTGCAAATATGAAAAGTGCGTATTTGGCAAATTATACAAAAAAAAACATACGTAGATATTACATGATTAACTACCCTAATATAGCGATTATATATATTATCATACCTAATTATAAACTGGCAACGTATCGTATTAATTTAAACATTTCATTTATAATATACATAAATAATGCAAATTAATTATTTATTGTTTGTAATATTTAAATTAGTTCGAATCACATATCGATAGCAAACAGAAATTCTCCACCTAGTTAGTGATTTTCACAGAAGATATAGGTATAAGATATATCCATACCCTCCATAAAAATTTAATATCTAATATAAATGTTATCGGGAAACAGCTTAAGATACATATTATACTTTTCAACGAAAAAAAAAAAGTGGCAACATACCAGAACAAAAATAGCAAACGCCATGATCATCACAGTTACCAGAAGATCAGCCAGAGCAAGACTAACGATAAAGTAGTTTGTGGCAGTTTGCAAAGTTCTCTCCTTGTACACAGTCAAAATAACCAGCACGTTTCCGAACAACGTCAAGATGGGAAACAGCACGAGCAAAAGCGCCCAATAGCTGTGATAACTTTCTGATGACGAGTCGCCTGTTGAACAGGTCCAGTTGCTGGTGTTTCCCACAAAAGTACAGTTAGACGCGTGTTCGGAGAAGAAAGTATTTTCCGAAATGTTCGAGATGTTAATTTTCTTAAAGTACTGATCTATGTCGTCGGTGAGTAGCATGTAATGTTCAGGATTGCTCGGAACACTGTTCTGATCTTAATCTGGAGAAGAGTTGAAGGATGAATTGTACCAGAACCGAACATTGTTCCATTCTTCAGAAGAATTCAATTTAACTTAAGTAAGGTGAGTTTTTTAAACAACTTTGAACAATTTTTAAGCACTCTCAGTTCATTTTATTTATTAACAAAAGTTTATATTTCTCAAGTCTGGGTGCATAATGAAGGTAATTTTTTCGATACTAAAAATCCCTGAATAATTATATATTTGAGTATAGTTGCATTTTTTATAATTTTATATTGTTTTAGAAGAAATTTCATAGTCCTTAATATTTATCTATGTATTTTTTCCATTAGGGATGTATTTTTTTAAATATTACTTGTCATTAAAAATAATGTCAAAGTTCTATAGATTTGTGTCTGTACGCAACTGTTATATTTTTAAAATATTTTTGTGTTAATATTTTTCGATTGCAAAAATTATGTTAAAAATTATTTTTTAAAAATCTCTATTTTGTATCCGGACTTAAATTTTCATCGTCACACTTTTACTAGAATATATTTTCCTTTAATATAAATAATATTGAAACTCTTTCAGTCGACTTTCTTTCATTTATATTAGTACTAATTCAAATTATACCAAATATTGTTATTACAGTAATATTATACAATTAATTTACTTCAATCTAAATAGTTTCTGATGAGAGAAGACCCTCCTTTCTTCTACACTCTATACACTCTAACTTTGAAGAAAATAGTTTACTACTGTTTAGCTTACATGTTTATTTTTTTTGCATATACTTTTCCACGAAAAAGATAAGTAGCAACTTACCAGAACATAAACAGCAAACGGCATGACCACCACAGCTACCAGAAGATCGGCCAGAGCAAGACTAACGATAAAGTAGTTCGTGGCAGTTTGCAAAGTTCTCTCCGTGTTCACACTCAAAATAACCAGCACGTTTCTGAACAACGTCAAGATCGGAAACAACACGAGCAAAAGCGCCCAGTAGTTGTGATAACTTTCTGATGACGAGTCGCCTGTTGAACAGGTCCAATTGCTGGTGTTTCCCACAAAAGTACAGTTAGACGCGTGTTCGGAGAAGAAAGTATTTTCCGAAATGTTCGAGATGTTAATTTTCTTAAAGTACTGATCTATGTCGTCGGTGAGTAGCATGTAATGTTCAGGATTGCTCGGAACACTGTTCTGATCTTAATCTGGAGAAGAGTTGAAGGATGAATTGTACCAGAACCGAACATTGTTCCATTCTTCAGAAGAATTCAATTTAACTTAAGTAAGGTGAGTTTTTTAAACAACTTTGAACCATTTTTAAACACTCTCAGTTCATTTTATTTATTAACAAAAGTTTATATTTCTCAAGTCTGGGTGCATAATGAAGGTAATTTTTTCGATACTAAAAATCCCGGAATAATTATATATTTGAGTAGAGTTGCATTTTTTATAAGTTTATGTTGTTTTAGAAGAAATTTCATCGTCCTTAATATTTATCTATGTATTTTTTCCATTAGGGATGTATTTTTTTAAATATTACTTGTCATTAAAAATAATGTCAAAGTTCTATAGATTTGTGTCTGTACGCAACTGTTATATTTTTAAAATATTTTTGTGTTAATATTTTTCGATTGCAAAAATTATGTTAAAAATTATTTTTTAAAAATCTCTATTTTATTTCCGGACTTAAATTTTCATCATCACACTTTTACTAGAATATATTTTCCTTTAATATAAATAATATTGAAACGATTTCAGTCGACTTTCTTTCATTTATATTAGTACTAATTCAAATTATACAAATATTGTTATTACAGTAATATTATAAAATTAATTTACTGAAGAAAATAGTTTACTACTGTTTAGCTTACGTGTTTATTTTTTTTGCATATACTTTTCCACGAAAAAGATAACTAGCAACTCACCAGAACATAAACAGCAAACGCAATGACCATCACAGCTACCAGAAGATTAGCTAGAGTAAGACTAACGATAAAGTAGTTCGTGGCAGTTTGCAAAGTTCTCTCCCTGTACACACTCAAAATAACCAGCACGTTTCTGAACAACGTCAAGATCGGAAACAACACGAGCAAAAGCGCCCAGTAGTTGTGATAACTTTCTGATGACGAGTCGCCTGTTGAACAGGTCCAATTGCTGGTGTTTCCCACAAAAGTACAGTTAGACGCGTGTTCGGAGAAGAAAGTATTTTCCGAAATGTTCGAGATGTTAATTTTCTTAAAGTACTGATCTATGTCGTCCGTGAGTAGCATGTAATTTTCGGCATTGCTCGGAACACTGTTCTGGTCGTAGTCTGGAGAAGAGTTGAAGGATGAATTGTACCAGAACCGAACATTGTTCCCTCCTTCCGAAGAATCCATTTTAACGTTTTTTATTGGTCTTTTCTTCGCGCGTCACGTGAGTTTTTATAAACAACTTTGAACAATTAATTAAACACACTCAGATCATTTTATTTATTAGGAAAGTTTATATTTCTCAAGTCCGGGTGCATAAAGAAGGTATTTTTCTCGATATTGAAAATCCGGCACAGTTATATATTTGAGCATCGTTGATCCAGACGGATGATGTACGAGATGGCGAGTCGTGTGATGCGTTGTGGAAGGCGCGTTCGCGAATGAACCGACTCTCGGTGCGTCGCCGGATTGAAACCCCGACGTCCGTCGGTTTGAAAAGGGGTGGCACAAACGACGTCGGCGTCGCTAGAGAAGAGTTCGGCGCCGCCCGGTCTCCTGCAGCGGCCGCCAGAGGCAGCAGTAGCAGCATCCCCCGCAGGAACGCGAACCTTGGCTCCTCCGGCCCTGAAACTGGTGGGGACCTTGATTGCGGTGCATTATTAATGTAATTCGACAGGATTTCTTTAAGGGTTTCGGCTTTTTTGCTCACGGTGTACTTTGTAATAAGGAAAAAGAACGGTTAATGTTTCGCGACAGAGTGCGGAATTAAATATGAAGAGGACTTTTATGAGCGGAGACAATTTTCCGCCTTCGCTTTATCAAATTGGCTCGATTTATTTTGTTTCGTTACTACTGGTGTTATGATGATATACCCTCACCGTCACAATTATCATACCGGGTGCGTCTCAAAAGTGGCTCACCCATATAACTTTTTTATTTGTTTCTAATAAAAAACGAGATTTGGTATATTAGTATATGACATAAATTAAGATTGATTGACGTATTCAATTGTTTTCGGTCACTTCCTGTTTCACCGGATATGACTACAACTTTTGAATTTTAAATTTCACTCTTGGTATTTGTTAACTTTATTCGATAGAAAATGACACTTTGAATATAATGGCATATCATGCCATCTTTTGAAATTCTCGTTTAAAAAAACTTGTATTTTAGATTTCAATCTAGTACCATATCTGTGTTAAAAAAAAGTAATTTTTAATCAAGGAGCCTTGGAAAAATATATTTGATTTTCTAATGTTTTTAAGTTCTTGTCCTGGCCGATTAAAAGATGCCCAAATCGTATTTTTAATCGTATCTCAATTTTTTCAAATGGAACGAGGGAGGCTCATAAATAATTTGGTACCACACACTTGGTATTTCGAGTAAAGTTGTCGTTATGAACCGCATGTTGCAATTTCAAATAAACCATATTCGAAAATGTCAAAAGTTGACATAGAATATATTATTCTATTCAGAGTGTCATTTTCTATCGAATAAAGTAACAAAATATCGAGGGTGCCATTTAAAAATCAAAATTTGTAGTCATTTCCGGTGAAACAGGAAGTGACCGAGAACAATTGAGTATGTCAATCAATCCTAATTTAGGTCATATATAGTAACATATCAAATCTCGATTTTTTATCTTAAAGAATAAAAAAGTTATAAGGGTGAGCCACTTTTGAGACGCACCCGGTATATACTGCGTGACATAGAAATAGGAACAGCCATTATATGCTTTTAGCCATTATATATAAATGTCCAAAGTTGACATGTGATATGTCATTCTATTCAGTGTCATTTTCTATTGAATACAGTAGAAAGTATATCTATGGCGATGTTTAAAAATCAAAAGTTGTGTAGTCATTTCCGGTGAAACAGGAAGTGGCCAAAACAATAATTGAATATGTAAATCAATCCCAATTTATTCCACATACTAACGTACCAAATCCCGTTTTTTTATTATTATTGAGTTATAGGGGTTTAGCCACTTTCTAGATGCACCCGGTATACTGAGTGACATTGAATTTTATTAAACACTATCCGTCATAATTAATATATACCTACACTAAGTGACACTGAATGAGTGCTTTGATTTTAATATGGTTTGACAACATGTTGGCCTCCCACTAAGTAGTTAGTGATTAGACACACGAAAATAGATTTTAAACACGAAACCTCTCGTAAAAGATCATCTTATTGATGTGTTGATGCTCCTCTGTTTTCTAGACACTCGCAAAGTTGTCGCGGCATAGATTGGATAAAGTGGTTAATTTCTGTAGTATCCCAGTCCACCTGAACTTTCTTGCGTATAGTCTGCAGTCTTTGTGAAGGGTGCAGTAAATTATGTAGCCTCCTCCCCATCATATCCCAGACCTGTTCTATTGGAGAAAGGTCTGGAGGCCACTGAAGAACTGATACCCGGAAGCTTATAAAACGTCAGTCAGTCAAGTTAGGCGGGCCTTTATACTGTTGAAAAGCTGGATTTCCGAGAGTTTACAGAATGGGAAGCAAATGTGGCTGTAGAATATCGTTGGTGTATCGCTAGAGGCTCATGCCATCGCCATCTTGATTGAGTACTACACGCTACACTATCAAAACAAACTGATTTGTTTTCATTTGCGATGAAACTTCTTTTGCGTCCATCGCTTAAATTTTTAAACTTATAAACAATTTCTAGGTATAGATAATCAAGATATCTCTCTATAGATTTCAGATGGGGGGTTGGAACCTTCGATGTTGCAATAGCAAAATAAAACACTAATTCACCATAATACAGCAAAACACTTTATTTTTGCACTGGACATGCGTTTCGCTAACCATGTTTAAAGTTTTAAGTTTAAGGTTTTGATCATCTGCTAATGATGCTAACATGGTTAACGAAACGCGCATCGCACATCCATTGCAAATAATGTTGCACAAAGTCTTGCAAGACCAAGACTCTTGCAAGAAATTCAAAATTTCTTGTCTTGAATTTCAAGACAAGACAAGACTTTAATATGCACGAAATTTCAAGAGTCTTGCAAGATTTCTTGAATTCAAGATTTCTTGAAAGTTAGAAATGGCACATTCTTTTAAGTGATTCTTTAGGTCTTTGCGCAAGTTATGCCGGGTTTATACAACATTTACATAGTCGTAATCACAATCATAGTCATAATAAGCAAAATAAAATACTAAATCACCACAATACACCAAAACACTTTTACTTTTACACTGGACGCGCGTTTCGCTAACCATGTTAGCATCATCAGCAGATGATTATAAACTACTACTACTTTAGTTTATAATCATCTGCTGATGATGCTAACATGGTTAGCGAAACGCGCGTCCAGTGTAAAAGTAAAAGTGTTTTGGTGTATTGTGGTGATTTAGTGTTATATTTTGCTGTGTAACGCCAAAGGTTCCAACCCTCAACTGTAATCATAGTCATAATCAAAAAAGATAAACTATCCACTTCCTATAAACCTGTTGACATCTACCATGACCATGAACATAACCTTTAATAATGTTACCCAACTTCACTGATGTAAAAATATAATAAACTATAAACGCACATTAAATTTGCGTTGTGATTATGACGATGGTCAAGACTGTGATTATGATTACGACTTATGCAAATGTTGTATAAACCGGGCATTAATATTGACCAGTGTTCATTTTTTTTTCTATCATAGCCAGTATTTTAGAGTTGAGAATGAAATAAAAAGTCGAGGCAACATAACGTATATTGGTAATTGGTATTATACACAAAATTATATTGGTATAATGGTATTATAAAAAAAACTAACGGTAGTTGAAACTAATGGTGGGTTCGTGGAGCACGCTATTTGAGCTATTTGGTACTACTTTTCATGCACGAAATTGCTCCGAAAAATAGTATCAAATAGCGCAAATAGTACACTCTAGCATGACCTTTCCGTACACCCTGTGTCCAAACTTTTCCAACCAATCTTCCATAATAAAAAAAAATAAAAAAATACCATAAAAAATAAAAGTAACAACCGGGTAACCAAAATAGAACATAATAAACTAACAAGAATTAACAACTAGAACTAAAAAATGAACTTAACCTTACTTATTCTTATTCAGCTTTTATTTGGTAATGACTATGGAGGCTAAAAGTAAGCCCTCAATTTTTTCGTCAAACGGGCGAGTTGACGTAGTTCGTTTGCGGTCCGTTAAGATTTTTTTGCTAAAATTAGCATCATTGTTGTTCATTTTTCCGTATTACATTTTGTATACGACGCTTTCTATGAAATAAAATATAGAAATATTATTACTTTTTTGTTAGAATGTAAAATTTTTCAAGACAAGAAATTTCAAGAGTCAAGACAAGACTTTGCCGTTCAAGAAATCTGCAAGACAAGACTTTCAAAAAAAATGATTTTCAAGACAAGAATTCTTGTCTTGTGCAACACTAATTGCAAAAGTAAAGTGATTTGATGTATTTTCGTGAATTAGTGTTTTATTTTGCCGATTTCTACATAAAACAAATTCATTTAGATTCTATTATTTATTTTACATAGCGTTTTTACAGTAACCACGATGTAATAGCATTAATTCAATAATGTATACATCCTAACTGAATTCAAATTGAAATTCGTGGGATGATTTTTACAGGCGACACATATTTTTCTATTTAAACTAGTGATTCAATTGAAGCAAAATTATCTGACAAAAATTGACGCCAATCGTAATAATGAGAATGTAGTTTTGCGAGAACTTAAGCCCCGTCTACACATTGGTAACGCTTTACCTGTCAGGTAAGACGAATTAAAAAACTATATGTATACTGGTAGTATTACCTGCCATTTTATCAGTTACAGCATTGTATTTAATGAAGTTGAAAGAAAAAAAACATGGAATTTTACTACAAAATTGTATTTATGGTCTAAATCGCATTAACAAAGTGTCAAAGCTAAGAGTGATAGCGTTAGGTATCATTAAATATCTACACAATTTTGTAAAATTTCATTATTTTGTCAAATGATGCAGAAATGTTAGATTTTTAAAAATCGGTTATTAAAGATACTATAAAAATAATACGTCCATATTACTTTTTGTAAACCTATCTACGTTTTTTTTTCTACTACTATCTATGTTTTTTTTTTCAGTATAGGTCAAACTCTAGATCGTACGTCTTAATTCAATTCAATTAAAATTGTCGTTTTTTTCCGTCTACACACAAG